GCTTAATACTAGTCTGTAAGTGATCAAACATTGAAGAACACCTCTTCAATATGCTAAAGGCGTGATAAGGGTAGATATCTAACCTCGCTTGTCATATACCCATGAGCCGGTCGACGCCATAAGCCGCAAGTTTAATGATGTAACTCTATTTCAATTTGAATTTTTCAATGAAACTTTAATTTCCCTACCCCCTGTCTTTAAACGGCAGTTTTTGATATGTGTATATTCTTTGGGATAGGAGCGGTAAACGTTTTGTAAACAGGAGCGATGTTTGTAAAGCTTTGTCACGTGTGAGCGTGTGACTATTTGGCGAATGAAGATTATTAAGACGGATTCCGCTCAAATAAGTGCAAAAATTATTTACTAAATGTCTACTCACAACACGGTAACTTTTTGAATACTATTTGAAACATCTCACCCTAATTCATTTCTCCACGTGACTCCGCGATTAAACCCCAAAATATTCTCGAAAAAGCTAATGTCAAACGTCGTCAAAATGTTTAATGCGTGTGTTATTGTGTTTTAACTAACGGGAAACGTCCATTTTAATTGAAATATGGATAACTTCAAGTTCAATTTTCTCTCGCGGGGTCAGCTTGAGATCTTAAGTCTCGATAAGTTCTTCTTACCTTTATTAAAAATATTACCATGCTATGAGGGTTTTTTGGTAACTTTATTTTTGCCATTATTGCTCGAATGTTGTGCGGAAATCATCTTATTATAAAAATCTTTATTGTTTTCATTCGCCAAAGGTCAGTGAGCGAACTAAACTCTATAACTAAGATCTCACGCCACCTTCAAGCGGGAGATAGACGGGTGATGAAATATCCTATGTTTTTATTTGTAATGCATTTTTATCCCTCCTCCCCCCTTTTTTTTTCGGCCGTTACTCCGTCATTATCTCTCTGGTACTTAAGTTTTGTATAACCAAAATGGCCACCCCGCGTGAGTTTTGCAGGGGCACGTCACGGCCAGTAAACTGGTACGACATGTGATTACATGTGATAAGACGTGTGGCGAACATGTGAGCATGTAAGCAGGCCATGTGAGCTCGTCTTTGCACTGGATCTTTCTTCGACCTCTTTCCATTTAGTCGCCGTAGGCTTCGCTATTTTGTGCTCTCAGCGTTGAATTTTTGGTAAATTTAAACGCTTCGACGGTAGCATTTATCGAAATCTGAGGGAATTGTCCTTTGTTTTATACTTTATATGTTAACGAACAACACGACTTTGGGTTGCCTTTGTTTTGATTGCATTTGTTGATTTAATAGTTCCAGTCGAGACAGATACATGTAGCTCAGTCTTTATCCGGTCGAATATTGTTTGGAATCGGTGGAAAAGTACTCTTAAGGCAAGATCCATAAGGGTGAGCCTGAACCAAGGAACGGCAAGTTACATAAATACTCAGATCAGTTGCACGTAGTTTGTTTACAATAAACGAGCACGCGATTGCAAATGTTTGCTGATATTTGTCCTTCCAGCTTAAAATAATATTCGTAAAATATAGTTTTACAAATTAGCTTTCGCTTTAGCATTACCAGTTAATGTGAGAATGTTTAGCACGAAATTTGAAGGCTATAAATGTAAATGTTTTAGTACTACTAAACTTGTGAGTCTACGGAACTGGCGCAGCTTGACGCTGTCACGCAAGGTGTCAACAAATCATAGTTTGTACAGGGGACCTCTTAAACTGGCATGGACTTTGACGCTATGATATATCTGTCTGTAAAACCTCGTTTGTCGATGAAAAACGTTGATTTTAGCAATAGACAGAGGCTGAAAGTCAGCTAGTGAAACCACATATTTAAGGTATATATACTATGACGGCGTCGAACGCACCCTCATAATCTTTGATAAACTACTAGTTGTAAATGTAATTATAGGTATAAAGGAAGACATAGCCTGAGATGTCCGTCACATGCCGTCAGCTTCCGCCCTCAGCCTAATCCCCGGGCGGGAGATGACTGACATTTCAGGCTAGGAAACACAGTTTTACGTGAACGTTTTGCACGCTAGGTGTACAATTATATTCTTAACAATTCATCGCGCTTGGCACTGACATTTTGTACTTGATATTTACTATTATTGAGAACGATGAAACGTTTAAAAAAAATATCCCTATTGAAAGGAAAATCATCTGGAATCCATTCAAGATTCTGAAGATGGTAGAAGTTCATGTTTGGCATCTCAACACCGTTTTTAATGCGAAGTACTATTGAGGTTAGAATGTTGGCAAAGATACTTCAAGTAAGCAAAATGCTGGTTCCTGATCGAAAATGTGGCCCTCAGATTTCATTATGTTTGCCAGCTGGACGCATTATGACGACATACCAAAAGACCGTAACCGAATCTGTTAAACTTTTCATTGTTAACTCTGTTAACTTCGTGTAGGGGTATCTGGGGGGCGTTATAAACTCCCTCGCAGTGTAGGTGAGGCAAGTGGCCCTTTGAAAATACTAAGAAATTTCCTCTTGCCCACTCCTCGGAGATTACTTTGGTACCTACTATGTTTTGGTCCTTTGCATATTCTAGGGGGTAGGGGAAAGTTTTGTTCTTTGATCGCAACCTCGAAAATAAAGATGGCGTCGTGTGTCGTGACTTTCTTCTAGACGGCACAATTCTGTACTTAGAACCAAAACACACCTTTACAGATATTGAAATGGTAGGCAATGAGCATCAAGAAGACTTGACCGATGGTTAAGAGGGTGATAATGACTTAGAAGCTATGATATCGTCCTTCAGGTTGCATCAAGATCTGAATCAAAGGTCTTCCTGAATAGATATAAACCAAAACCGCACCACGGAACACTGTGGACAAGTTCAAATGGACTTTCTCCTCTACAGTATGGAAATATGGCTAGTTAAACCAAATGTACCGCTTATTAAAATTAGCATTCTCTTCTAGAGGAGCTGTTTTGGTGTTATTTATATAAATGTTTCAGCTGACTTTTGCGTTCTGGATATACACATTCTGGTATATTTGGATAGTACAAATATACTTTTGGAGAACGCTTATATCCAAGTCACTATTTTCTCATGAACACGATCCTTTATGTCGCTCACCTATTTATAATTAACTGAAGCTTTCTGACTTAAGTACTTAAACTTTTTGAGACACTTGTGTTCATACAAATTGACCCGGAGGTAAAGGAGCTCCGTCACTGCTTAGGCATCTGGAAATTTTCAACTCAAGTTCGTAATATGTAAATGTAAATGTAAAAAAGAAAAATGTAAATCTTATTTATAGTGGTCGTGCACTCAGCTATACACGCACTAAGCTTAGCTAGTTAACAGGCATGCCACTGGAACAAAGGAAACAAATATTTCAAATAAACGTAACATAGTTAAAATCCCAACTGGCATGTACGAGGCAGACCAGTTGGCTCTTTACAAAGCGTGACTCAGGGACTACCGAGAAACAAATCCCGCTAGTGGCAGCGTGGAGGCGTTGAACTTGGGACCTCCAGATTACAACACCAGCGCCCTAAACCACTCGGCCGCGCTGCCTCCACCAATCCGTAATCCAATGTAATCCGTGCTAATCTTTAATGATATATGTATATATTTTTGTGTTTTTCCATCTTAGTGGCGTACTTTATTCAGGTCTCCTACAATTTAAAGTTGATTCTGTACGCCGCCAAGATCGAACTCAAAATAACTTGACTGAACTCCTCAGTTTAATACGCGGAAATTGAGATTCACTTTTGCATGCTTCTTAGAAAAGAAATGTCGTCAAGATTTGGTCAGTAAAAGTAGTTTACGCCGGTTTCCCTACTTTACGTTTTGTTTTTGGCTATCAGTCTTTGTATCAACCAATGGACGAATTCCATAAATCTCAATACCAAACGAAATCAGTGTTCAACGCCCGATCGCATTGTCAGTCAGTTAGTTTTCTGACTTTTCTGACTTCCATCTTACAAATTATTCTTATGCTATCTGCAGTAGAATTAATTTTGCCCAAAAAAATTCTACAAAGCAGTGTGAGACTAAACACAAAGTCCACAACACGGCAAAGTTTGAGCAACAGCCTAATCGATGATGTTAAAGTTCATTGAGATCACAGCAGGGCGCCGTTAAAGTTGAACTTATTTTCATTTCTAGGAACCCATTATGGAAGCTCCGAATCACAAAGCAATAGTTCTTTTATCCGTCATGCTTACACTAACCTAAAGACACATGTAAGAAAGCTGGAAACTAGGACCCCGAACACACTAATCCGTTTTTGTATAAAAACGGACACTTTTTTGATGCATTTTCGTCTATCACAACCGAAAACGCTGATGAAAACGGAGGCTTTCGAAAACGCATCTTTTTTAGCGTGGATAGGTGAAAACGGAGGTTTTGGAAAACGGTGCCGAGAAAAGCGTCATATACTATCGTTTCCATCAGCGTTTTCGAGGAGCTTTAGACGAAAAACGTATCGAAAAGTATGCGTTTTCGAATGAAAGCGATTTAGTGTGGACAGGTGAAAACAAAACGAAAACGCTACTGTGGTCGAAAATACTTTGCTTCGTGTTCGTCGAGACGAAAACAGATTCTTTTAGAAACGCATTGGTGTGATCGGGGCCTTATAAGGCAAAATAGTTCGTCCTCACCATGGCCTTGACCTTTATAGATCCTGATCACAAATTCAAACCGCCAAAATCTCACGTTTTGTGGAACATTGTTAACTCACGGTATTGCCTCTAATCTCACGGTCAAACAGGATACCTTGAAATGACCAAATTTTTGCAAAATTTTCTGATAGAGGGAATTGGTAATTAGGAGCACTGGAGCCAGTGAAATAAGAAATATAAACGAAGCCTTTCATATTGAAGTTGCAGTTGTTTGTACTGAAATGTAGAAGTCACTCTTAAATTATTGATGTGTGCTCAATTTGAGAAGTAAAGTAAATATCTTCATTAGCTTTTTCAGTCTACTGAAGGGCTCAAGTATAACTTAAACAGTATCCAATGTCATTTGATTTGTTACTTGTTTAATACTTATCTTTTGCTTTCAAGATATAAAGTAATGTTGTAATTACTTTCTCCTCTACACAGTTTTGAGTGTGAGAACTAAACATGGTCGAAGCTCTGAATAAACGGGAGACATGGAGTTCAAAGTTCGACTTTATACTGGCTTTGATGGGGTTTTCTATAGGCTTCGGAAATGTTTGGCGGTTTCCTTATCTGTGTTTTAAAAATGGCGGAGGTAAGGTTTTCTATTATGTTCTCAGTTTCATTTTGCTTTTACTTCTACTAAGTCAGTCATGCAGGAAATAAATGGTTCTGCTGCAGTAGCGGAACATTATTCGAGTAGAAACTCTTTTGAGTGCAGTTTTCTAATAAATATTTTATCATTATTTCAGATGTTTATGGAGTTAAAAATTGATCATTGCCATATCACGTTCTTTCAAATTTTAAGGTTGCTTTCTCATTCCTTACCTAATTTGCCTGGTTGTGGCCGGTGTTCCGGTTTTGATTATGGAAATCGGTTTGGGACAGTACACGAGTGAAGGCGGGATCACTGCATGGAAGATCTGTCCTCTTTTTCAAGGTATGAGTTGGTGAAGAATACTTTATTTTCTACATCTCCGCCATATGTTCTTAATCTAAGGCCAGGGTCCAAGTAGAAACTAAGACTGGCTACATTTCATTTGCAACGGAACACAAATTTAAGATTTTTCTGCAAACAATTTGGTATACCATTTCATTGTTATCGGAACCTGATGCTTCTATGACAGCCATGTTTTTTTTCCTCACCAGGTATTGGCTACGCAGGCGTGTTAGTCATGCAGTATATCAATATTTACTACACGGTGATTTTGGGTTGGGCCCTGTTTTACATGTTTGCGTCCTTTCAGTCAAGGCTTCCTTGGTCACATTGTGGAAATGAATGGAACACTCCAAACTGTGTGGATTACAGCGAAAATGGCACTCATTCCGGAATGCACAAGAACCATTCAATAGCAAATAAGGTGTCTGCAAGCCAGGAATATTGGGAGTAAGTAATAGTTTATTTGATAACAATATTATGAAATAATTGCATGTTATTTTCTTAATACCTAAAATGTTATCGAGGGCGAGTGCGTACCTGAGCCCACCTGGTTCCCTGTCATTTGGGGCTGATAATATCCCGTTCCTTTGCGCGCATAGCACTGTACTCCTCTCAGACCTTAAAGACAAAACGAAGGCACTGCCGGTTTTTTTCCGGCGCTATGGTTTAAAACGTTATTGCTGTCCGAAAAAGCAATGTCATTGACCAAACAAAGAGACGACCATCTCAAATATCGTACCTCTAGTCTGAAGAACAACTTTTACTCGCTATTTATTGGTACCAAAGCTGTCTGGTGCGTTAACAAATTGACGGTTGCATCTTTTCTTTCTCGTAATAGCTACAGAGTTTTACGACTATCTGGCGGTTTGAGTGAACCAGGTCAAGTGAACTGGGACCTAGCATTGTGTCTGTTGTTGGCTTGGATCATTTGTTACTTATGCGTGTGTAAAGGAGTCAAATCCAGTGGAAAGGTGACAGTTCGTTTTGTTTAAAATTGCATTTTAGTTTGTTAAAAAAATTCACAGATGACGTACAAAATGTCCAGGTGAAGCAACGCAATGCAACGCAAAGCAACGGCGGTTTTAAAATGGTTTCAAAAAGTGAAACAGAACATACGCGAAACCTTTGTGGCATAAATCGTTTACTAAATATTTGCAACATGGATAGGCTATTACAAATTAATTTTTGGGATTCTTAAGAAGATTACGACATTTTTTAATTTATAAGACATGTTTCGATGTTACTAACATCATCGTCAGTCACAGAATATTTGAAAAACCGTTAGGACTATATAACAACTAGGCGAAACATGCATAATTAACTATGATTAAGTGACAAAAATTAATAACATATTTGAGTGTGTTACAAAGTGTTTCAAAGAATATAAAGCCTAAAGCGTAAGTGTCAGGTTGACGTGATGAACTTGTTGATTTAAACTGGGCTTTTCCCAATTTATATGCATAGCCTCCTTAAGTTTAAGTTGAAATTTAGTAGGGGCGGAATCAAGGATTTCAAAACAATCCGCAGAGCAAGATTGAGGACAACGTTCTGAGCTTTGTAAGTGTTTGAAGATGTGTGAGGATTTGTCTGAAGAGAGATGTTCACGGACGCGTGTGGAAAAATGACGACCAGTTT